TATAACAGAGTAACATTTAGAACATTTCTGTTGATCCTGTTGATTGACTGGTAGATCTGCCATAAATTTTCATTTAGCACTTTGGACAGAAGTGTCATCCAAGAAGGAACTTTAAATTAAACACTTTAGGACTGATATTCTTGATTAGTGCACTAGAACAGATGGCAACTGCCTGTTGTAGAATAAACATGAATACAAACAATCAAATAATACTTACATTATTATGCAAATTTTGTCTCCTGAATAAAATATTTATAACACCAAAATTTGTTATCATTCATGTCCAATGCCTACATACTTATGCTTGCACTAATGACAAAACATAAATCTTTTAAAATAAAACTCTACAAACCTTTTACGACATAAATCTTTTAAAATAAGACTCTACAAACCTTTTATGACATAAATCTTTTAAAATAAGACTCTACAAACCTTTTATGACATAAATCTTTTAAAATAAGACTCTACAAACCTTTTATGACATAAATCTTTTAAAATAAGACTCACAATCCTTTTATGACATAAATATTTTAAAATAAGACTACAAACCTTTTATGACATAAATCTTTTAAAAATAAGACTCTGCAAACTTTTTATGTGTAAAACTCTCCATTAACTCTCAATTTTAAGAGCTTGTACAAATACAAAACACCAAGAATTCCAACTTACCTAGACCAGCAGCAATGGCTGGTATTGGGAGATTGAAATGGTAACAAACGTAGGATATCAGAAGGAAGTCAACATAGCTACGGTGAGTTGGCAACAAAAGCACAGGGTATTCAACAGAACAAGCTCGCAACTACAACAAAAGAAAAAGCATGTTCTACTCAACAACAAGCAGTAATAATTTCCTGAAAAAAAAAATCATAAAATGAATTTAAAAAGTCACGTGCAATATGATGCATTAATTCTTAACTGACTGTCTACTGTTCACAAGTTGAAACTTAACTGGATGTCTACTGTTCACAAGTTGAAACTTAACTGGATGTCTACTGTACACATGTTGAAACTTAATTGGATGTCTACTGTACACAAGTTGAAACTTAACTGGATGTCTACTGTACACATGTTGAAACTTAACTAGATGTCTACTGTTCACAAGTTGAAAG